TTCTCCAGCACCACAGCTCAAAGGCATCAATTCTCCTATCCTCCCTAGTCATTGTGCAGCTTAGGCCTTCAGACAGGACTTAAGGCCAAGGACTCAAGGAAGAGAGAAGAGCAAGAGGGAAAGCCTAAAGCAGCTTTATTAAGGGAATTCCCTGGGGACATTCCTTGGTCTCAAAATGGAGAACAAGGAAGTGACCCTTAGGAAGTTCTTGGGAGGGTTTTTATGGGAAGGTCATTAGGGAGGGAAAGGAGGGACATTCCATTGTGCTTTAGCCAGGTGGGCGAGGGCATTCACTCCACTTGTTGACATGTTCTGTTCTTTGAATCCTTTATTCTCCCTTGACCTTGGTCTGGGCCTGACATCAGTCTGTTAGCAGCTCCACAGAAGAGAGATGAGACCGTCTGTTTCTGTTAAGAATTGCATCCTAACCCTTATTGCTGTGATTCACAACCAACTCGCTGGCATCGAGTTTGGTTGCAAGAGGTCAGACTGCTAACTGAAAGTTTAGGGATTTGACTCTACCTAGAAGTACCTCAGAATGGAAGGATAACTAATAAAACATGTAGGGGGATCTAAGGGGGGCAAAGGATGGGAGCTGAGAGGTGAGAGTGAACAGAGGAAGTAAAATAGTGTCACAGTTTGGTGGAGAAGGGGTGTAAAGGAAATAGGAAACATCCAGCAGGGACCTGTTAAGACCAGGATAATGGTGATTAATTTTATAAAACACAATATATGGGAATGTATGAGACAATGTCAGTGAAGGAAAGTATGAAACACAAAAGCCTCACAGTGTGCATGAATGAAACACTATATATATGAATAATTATGTGCATACCTATTTAAAAAGCTTGATGATCGCGTTTCAAAATATCAACTGTTGAAAACTCCATGGAACAATCTGATTCTGATACATGGAATTGTCATGAGTTGGAATTAATTCTTTGGTAACTCATAACTGTCCCTAAAAACATTCAGTCTTTTATATGAAATGGACATATAAACAATTAGATGCAATTCAACAGTTTCTTTTAAGTGTGAAATCATACATACATATATACATACTAAAACCCACTTCTGATCCAGCGGCACATAACAACAACATGGTGAACTACAAATAAACATTTACAGGTGCATATTTTTTTTTAACTTTGTTGAATGATATGTAGTCTTAAAGCTTAAATGTTGCATGTCTTTATTATCATGTTTAGTAATCAGAAGAATTTTAATGTCAAAAAGCAAGGCAAAAAAGTGTTAACACATTTTGAAATACTTGTGTTACTAGGTTTTTTGGTTTTGTTGGGGTTTTTTAAGTAAAATTTTTATTATATGCTGTTTACTTAAAATGTGTTAGTAGGTTTTTATAACTTTTTTTAACTGAGTGAGCGGGAACTCCTTAAGCATTTCTTTAGCTTCATTATTTACCAGAAAGCAGAGTATTTATTGGGGTTTTAAAAAATATGTCCATGAGTAATCTTAAAATCAGAATTAAGTTTTAGCTCGGTTATTTTTTAAAAGTAATTTCTCAGGTTTTTTTTAAAGCTCCTGGAGCTTTTTGATAGTGAAGATCCCAGAGAACGTGACTTTCTGAAGACTGTTCTACATCGAATTTATGGGAAATTTCTTGGATTAAGAGCATTCATCAGAAAACAAATTAATAACATTTTCCTCAGGTAAATTATTTGTAGCACTTTTACTGCCCCTCCTTTTTGTCTGAACGCTGTTACTGTTCCTCTCTGAGCCGTGTTTGGCTTATTTTGTAGTCATCATGCAGTTCTGTCTAGAAATTTAAGACCTACTGCTTATCTAAGGGGATTGTAGTAATTAAGACAATTTTTAATATCAGTATTATATCCATTTAAGAGTTTAAAAATGAATTGAGAATAGAACTGATCTAGTTATGTTTCTTTGAAGTTTCTTATTAAATAATTGCACCGCCTTCTAGAGATTGCATCAACTCACTCTTTGAATTTTATGTATTATTCTAAAGAAGGACATTAATTACCCTTTTAAGCCTAGTTTATTTTCATCTTAAAGCACTATTACAAGTTAGAAAAAGAGTGTCATTTATCAAAAATTATGTTTCTTGGCTAAAATAATAGGGTAAGTAGAAGATGAGAATAAACTGAACTTTTCTTTGTAATATTGCAATTTTAGATTTTTACTAATATGTTTATGTGTATTGCTTTGAGTGAAAGTTTACAGAGCAGACTGCTTTTACATCCAGTAGTTCATACAGCTTTTGTTTTATGGCATTAAATTACAGTTTCCACATTGTGACAGAACTTTTCCTGCTTCTTCCTTGTGATTGTCACTTCCATTGAGCTTTGTATCCTTTCCTTTCCTGCCTTCTGAACTTTGTCCCTTGGCAAATACTACCCTTTTGATCTTGTGTGATTCATTTTTCTAAGTGAATTGCCTGCGTGGTATTAATTGTTCCACTTATATGAAGGTCTAATGTTTGGCTAAAAGTTAATCCACAAGAGTGTCTTGGGCTCATTTTTTTAGAATTTTTAAATGAAGGAAAAATTTCCTGTAATGAGGATATATTTAAAATCAAATTATGTTTTATCATCTATAGCTTTCAAATAGTTTTCCCTTTAAAATTGTATAGATATATTTAGCCAGTAACTCTTACAGGTACTTTCATTTGATTAAATTTATAAGAAGCTTATCTCTGAACTACTTTGTAAATGTTGATTTATTAACTAGTTATTGTAGATCAGGATGTTAATATTAACATTCCTGTTCCAGGTGTGCTTTGTTTATTTAATTGACAATCTGGAACACTAGGCAAAGAGTAGAGAATTTTTCTATTTTGTAAGCTACTTCTTTGATAAAATCCATGAATCTCAAGTCTTAACAGCATATATTGTTGAATAAGATAAATACCTTCTTTTGAAAGATTCCTATAAAGTAACCGCTTTGTGACAAAACTATTTAAAAGGAAATCTAAAGCATGCTTGCTTGTGTGTTATAGTTGTCCCATAGGTTAAGTATTCTTCTAAGGAACAACTATAGCAATAATATAATAATCTTACTATAATAAAATACTATAATCTACTTTCCCATTCTATTAATGTATATTTTGATGTTTGATTCCTATTACATCTTTCTTTAACTAGGTTTATATATGAAACAGAACATTTCAATGGTGTTGCTGAACTCCTAGAAATATTAGGAAGGTTGGTCAATTTTTTTTATCCTTATTTTTTAGAATTAACTTTTTATTTTGTATATTAAAAGCTTAGCTGGGGTGGAAAAAACGATTTTATATTTTAGGACCTGTACATGAAACACAAGCCATAGTTTCTTAATTGAATTCTTATCACAGTTCTTTTAGAGGGTCAGCATATTAAAGTACTGTCATGCAAGACAGACTTCCTGTACTTGAAGGAGTAGCATGTTTTTTGTCTTACCTCCTCAAACTGCCAGACTGCCACCAAAATGTATATAATCTCATAAGGAAGAGAACAAATACGCTACAGTGAATCTCTGAGGAGTTTACAACAAGCATTTTTCTTCAGATACTGATAAACAACTCCCAGTCCATCTGTTGTTTTAGAAGAATCTGAAATCTCTGGTTTTAGATCACATAAATATTTTGTCTTCCTTATTTACCTCAGAATAGTAGTAGCCGAGAAAATTTCTTCTTTCCTTATTGCTGGTTAGAGTAGGAGAGCCCTGGTGATGTAGTATGTAGGGAGTTGTGCCAGAGCAAAAGTGGATGGTTCGATCCACCTGCAGCTCCAGGAGAGAACGGTCTCGCTTGGCTCATGTGATTAACAGCCTCTGGAGGATCAGCCATAAGTTGGTTCTCACAGGACCGCTCTAAAGGGGATGATGATACTACTGTTTTGAGAATAAATTCTTTATAGAATGAAGAATGCTTGTTTTAGATCTTCAAACAAAGTAAGAGGAACTACCATTTCCTTCCAAAAATACTGAGAATACTAATAAGATGATATTGTGATAATAAGATGTCTTGCTGCAGCTTCAGAAAGGGAAAATGAAGGCAACCAGGCATTAACAGAGTAACAGGCATTATAGAAAACAAAGGTAGACATTGCCTATTGTGTCATAAATTGACAGTCCTAATTTTCTTTTGGTATAATTGAATGACTTAGAGGACAGACCTGATCATAAATGCTTTATCAGGTTTATCACAGATGAGTTAAGTCATACAGCCTCAAAGTTGAAACCTAAATGTACTTGTGGATGAGATAACTTTTAGAAAGTAGTAACTACTTAACTCTTCCCCTGTCTTTTTCTCTCCAGTATTATCAATGGCTTTGCATTGCCACTGAAAGCAGAACATAAACAGTTTCTAATGAAGGTTCTTATTCCTATGCATACTGCAAAAGGATTAGCTTTGTTTCATGCTCAGGTAAGTTTCTTAAAAATTTCAAATGAAATACTCTTTCATCTTTCTCTCTCGGAACAGCTAGTGGATTGGAACTGCCTATCTTTGGGTTGGCAGTGCAGCTCTTGACCCACTTGGCTACCAGAGCTCTAGTGAAATACTCTGAAAGATTAACATATAGAACAGAGAAATTTATAAGTATCAGAACAACAGTTTTAAATATAATTAAGCAATTTGTTTTGTAAATTACTGAAACCACACTTCATAATAATAAAGTAATAAGACATTTAGTCTTGTTATATAATAAGTATAGATATTTGGGGAGCTCTGGTGGCCTACTGGTAAGAATTTTCTGCAAACCCAAAGGCACATAGTTCAAATCCACCATCCAGGAGGATGGGTAGTCTCCACCCATGTGATTATCTTCCTCTAAAAACCCGCTGAAAGGTCAACCATAAGAAGGTTCCATCTTGACGGCACATAAGAAGTATAGTAAAAGTAATATCAGATTCCCTTCCTTTCTAATCTAGGTCCTGCCTGACAGAATTGACTAAATGATTTTGAGTAAATGCCACATATCTGCAGAATGTTCTTTATAGTTCTGACACCCTAGTTAGAGATCAATTTTAATCTCTCTTAACATTTAAAGATGAGAATACAGGTTGTCTCTGATTTACAAACAGATTTCCATTTCAATGACTCCCATCAGACTTCTGATGTAAGTCAAGTACCTCCCTTTCTTTTTCTGGTAGATTATTGCCTTTATTATCTTTATAAATTCTGTCATTATTTTTCCCTGAGTTGGCGTGAGAATGACAAAGTAGCAGTACTACAACTTTATACATAATGCCTGTTACTAATGAGATGATGCATCACACAGAAATAGAATGTTCCTAAGTGTGGTTTATCATAATGCTGTGTGTCATAAGACAGGGACACCTGTCATATTATATTAGCAGCTTATGGGCTAATATGTAATAGATGGGCTACGTATAGGTTCATTTGTAGAAACATGGCTAATAGACTAAAATACTAGATTTAGTCCTAGTTAATTTTATATTGAAAAAGTATTGACAAAAGAACATACCTTTTTTGAACTAGAAGTTACTTTCAAGGTGAAAAGGGTATACAATTTTGAGTGCATAATTTATTTTTATATGTTGATATAAACTACAGCAGTTTGTGAAAATGAAGTAGTCTTTTTTGCTAAGTATTTTTAAACTTGCATCTGAATGTGATTTCACTCAGTAACATTTGAAAATTTTCCTTTACATTTTAGCTAGCCTATTGTGTTGTACAGTTCCTGGAAAAAGATACAACATTAACAGAACCAGTAAGTGCTTCATTTATTTATTATTTTTTTATGATTTTATTTTTTAGTCAATTTATAGCTTTCTTTATAGCTAATGTAGACTTTAAAGAGTAGTAGTCATATACTTCAAGGTAAAGTCATTTGGTCAAAGAATGTGAAGTTAATTTGCATTCAAAGAACCAGGTTGGGGGAAAGGGAATTGTCATAAGTTATGTGCCTTAAATAACTCAGATATTTAATTGATATATATGATGATGACCTCAAATAACAATTGAAATTTCATATAAATAATCGATTCACTGATAATCGCTTTGATTTCCATTACTCTTTTAAAATTAAAACCTATTGTGAGGATCCCAGAACTATTCTCTTGAGGTTTTTCTCCTTTTTTAAAAGAAATATAACTTTTCCTTAATTAGTGATAAGCCACATGGTAAAAATTGAAAACATTTCTTGGCTTTGATAAGAAATATCATCTTGGAATATAGGTTGTTTAATAAATTAGCATTTCAGTTTTGCATTTTGCTTGTTATCTGTAAAATAAAGGTTTAAGAGAGTAAAAGGGGAAAAAAAGAGTAAAAGGATAACTACTTGTTATGAAAATTCACTGAAGATTTAAGAATAGCAAACATGCAGTAAAGTGAAATATTAACCTTGGAAAAATAAATATTTTGAGAGAACACTTCCTTGGCCTTTTTAAAACGAAATAGCTTCTAACATTCCTAGTGATAAAGAATTTAAAATAACAAATTTGTAAGGTGTTTTCTTTTTATATTGAGTCTTCTGAAGGCTTGTGTCTCAACTTTCACCCAAACAATAGGTAGGCTTATAAGAAAAACAAGGAGCACTGGTAAAAACTCAGGGAAAAAACCAATCTCTTTGCCATCAAGTCAGAACTAACCCATAGATGACCCGAAGTAGGTCTGCCGAGTATGTAAATTGCACAGGAGGAGATTGCCCATCTTTGTCTTTTGTCCTGTGTAGCAGCTGGTGGATTCAAACCATTGACCTTTGGGTTGGCAGTGCACCTCTTTCCCCACTGGCCACCAGAGAGCTCTGTATGTGCATAGTACTGGGGGCATGTTGTTATGTGCTGTCAGGGCAGAACTGACCCATAGCTGATCCTCCATTTTCAGAGTCACTTAATCACATCGGAGCAGACTGCCCATCCTACTCCCGGGGATCAGGTGGTGGATTTGAACCACATGCCTTCAGGATTGCAGCGCAGCTTCTTGCCACTCTACCACCAGGCGTAGTGCATAGTCTATTGCAGTGTTGAGAAAAGTTGGGTCTTCCTCTCTCACTTACTTCTACATTTATCAGCTTGTCTTTCTCCAAGGACTGATTCCTCCTGAAAATATGCCCTACGTAGTGTGACAGTTTCACCATCCTTGTCTCTGAAGAACCCTCTGGTTTCAAGACAGACTGCTGCTTTTTTTTTTTTTCTTTCTCTCTCTCTCTCTTTTGGCAGTCCATGGGACGTTCAAGAACTCTTTACCAACACCACAATTCAGAGTTATAAATTCAGTGACCCTTACTCATTTTCTGATTTAGATGCATAGGAAGCAATTGAAAATACCATGACTTGAATCAGGTGCCTCTTAAGACTTTAAACTGACTGCCTTATTCTTTAGAACTTTGGAGAAGTCCTTGAAAGCACATTTCCCCAGTGCAGTAGGTCTTTTAAGTTCTTGACAGCTGCTACTGTGGATGCTGATTGTGGATCCAATAAAATGCTTGCTTGCTTGATCTTTTATATCTTCAAAGAGATTTACTTAATTCTGTGTCATTAACATAACTAAGAGTCCCCAGCCAACAAAGGTTGTTGATCAAAAAAGGCCTGACTTTTTTGAGGATGAAAGGGTGGGTGTTTTTTTTGTTTGTTTCTTGGTGGTGTTTTTTTTTTTTTTACACCAACAGCCCTTTGGTGGCTGGGCTTCTTAGGTATGGAAGTCAGACCTTTTAAAATCAATATCCCTTTGGGTCTTGGGGCCCTTGGGCCTTCTGTGCACTACAAAAGATTCAGCAGAGACTTCCATGTTATCTTAATATCCACATCTGGGATCTTACACCCATGTCCCTAGCATGAATCTCAGCCAGAATACTTCGGCACCCTCCCAGAGGCACATCCTGCCACAACTATATAGGCTTCTTCTGCATCTGGTAACATGCCATGCATATGCCTGATTTGTTATTAGCTGTACAACATTAATTTGTCATTTTATTGTATTTATTGGGAGAATTCATGGTTATAATTAGTACAGCACTTGTCTGTCAGCTTGTTGTACTAAGGTAACTTGTGGGTTGCTGTGTGAACTGAAGTAACTTGTGGGTTGCTGTGATGCTTAAAGCTATGAAACCAGTGTGTTAGATGTCACAAGGGTCACCCATGGTAGACAGGTTTTAGTAGAGCTCCAAAATTAAGACAGACTAGGAAGCAGAATTGATCATCTGCTTCTTAAATAGCAGCCTTCTGACAACTCTATTACAGTATCAGAGTTAGAACCCAGATTAGAAGTCAATCAAAATGAGGAAAATAGTGGCAAACATTCTTTAATAATTAGAACATGGGATGTATTAAGTATGAATGTTTGAAAGCTAGAAGGTGAGAAAAAATAAGTAGAATGAATGAATATCGACATTCTAGGCGATGAGATGAGATGGACTAGCTTTGGCCACTTTGACTTAGACAGTCACATGGTATACTATGCTGGGAATGAAAAATAGAGGAAGAATGAATGATGTTGAATTCATAGTTAAAAAGATAATTTCATGTTGTTCTGAAACACAGTGTTGTGAGTGACAGGATGTAATCCATACACATACAAGGAAGACCTGTTAATACGACAATTATTCAAATATAAGCTCCTACAGCTAAAGAGGAGGAAATTGAAAATTTTGATTCAATTTTGCAGTCTGAGATTGATCAAATCAGTCAAGATGCATTATTGATAATTGGTGACTGGAATGCAAAAGTTGAAAACAAAGGATAAAAAACAGTTGTCAGTACAGACTTGGTGACAGGAATGAGGCTGGAAATAGAAGGATGGAATTTTTTATGTTCGGTGATTTATTCATCATAAATATCTTTTAGAAAAAACACAAACAGTGACTTTACACATGGGCCTCACCTGATGAATGGCTTAGGAATCAGATTGAGGACTCAGTGGAGAAGCTCAATATCAAGGAGTCAAAACAAGGTCAGGTGCTGACTGTGGAAAGATCATCAGTTACTCATGTGCAGGTTCAAACTGAGACTGAAGATGTCCACAAGAACCAAAATATCCCCCTGAATTTTAAAAAATCATCTTTAGATTTCAAACTCCAGTGATCAAAAATCAGATGAGTTGTGGGATGACATCAAGGATATCCATGAAGAGAGCAAAAGGTCATTACAAAGACAGAAGAGAAAGAAAAAAACCAAAATGGGTATCAGAAGAGACGTTGAAAATTGGTCTAGAGAATTGAGAAGCCAAAACAAAAGGGGAAAGAAGCTAAAGACCTGAACAGATTTCAAAGAACAGCATAAGAAGACAAAGCAAAGTATTATAATGGTATGTGCAGAAATATGGAATAGGAGAATAAAAAGAGGAGCACTCACTTGGCATTTCTGAAGCTGAGAGAACTCAGAAACATATTTTAAGACTCAAGTTGCAACAGTGAAAGATGATATGGTCAATACGTTGAATGATCCACAAAGCATCAAAAGAAGATGGAGGGGACACACAGAATCATTGTACAAAAAAGAATTGACTGACACTGAAAAATTTCAGGTAGTACCATAAGAACAGGAGCTAATGGTGAGGAAGGAAGAAGTTAATACGTTGCCATACACTTTTAAATTGACAACCATGCTTAGAAACACTTTTTTTTCTCTCTCTCAATGTATTACCATCATTTGTGGCAACATGTTAATGGGGTACCAATAAGACTGACAGTTTTCAACTAACAGATGTGTCCCTGAACGTTCTCACCAGTCTATGCCAAGAAGTTTGGAGGACTGCTGTCCGGCTCACTGATTGAAAGAGATCCATATTTATTCCCATTTCCAAGAAATATTACACAACAGAATGTGAAAATTATCGAATAGTATCATTAATATCACATGTTACATGTAAGCAAAATACTGGTGAAGATTATTAAAAAATGGCTAAATAGTATACAGATAGGAACTGCCAGAAGTACAGGCAGAATTAAGAGGCCATGGCACCAGGGATATGATATCACTGCTGATGTTAGATGGATCCAGGGTAAAGTAAAGAATACTGGAGGAATGTCTATTTATGCTTTATTATTATGGAGAGACATTTGATTATGGGGATCATAACAAATTATGGCCAACATTGAGAAGCGATGGGAATCACAGAGCATGGGAACATTACAGGGTTTTTAAAATCAAGGAAGCAGTGTGTCAGGGTTATATCTTCTCTCCATACCTACTGAATCTATGATGAGCAAATTATATAAGAAGGTGAACTCTGAAGGAGGATGTAGCATCACAATTGGAGGAAGACTCATCAATAACCTATATTATGCAGATGACACAACATTGCTTGTTGAAAGTGAGGAGGACTTGAAACACTTTTGCAGAAAGCAAAGAATACAGACTTCAATATGATTGCATTTCAGTCAAGAAAATAAAATTACTCACCACTGGCAAATAGAGGGAGTAAAGATTGAAACTGTCAAGTATTTCATCCTGCTTGGATCCACAATCAACAACTGTGGTACAAGCAGTCAGGAGAGATGTATTGCAGTGGGAAAGTCTGCAGCCAAGGACCTCTCTTCAATTATTGAGGAGCAATGTCAGTTTGAGGACAAAGGTGTGCATGATTCAGGGCATGGTCTTTTCAGTCACTTGCTATGAATCAGAGACTGGACAATGAATAAGAATGACAGAAAAAGAACTGATGCTTCTAAGTTGTGGTGCTGGACTACAGTACTGAGTATCCTATAGGCTGCCAAAAAAACCCAAAATATGTCTTCTATAACATACAGCCAGAGTGATCCTTTGAGACAAAGATGATGAAGCTTCATCTCACAAACTTTGGACATGTTGCTATTAGAGATTATTCCTTGACATCATGCTTGGAAAGGTGGAAGGGGTTGATGAAGGGAGGAAGACCCTCAAGGCAGTTGGATTGACAGTGACTGCTGTCATGGGCTCGAGTGTGTCAGAGTGTGAGGGTGACACCAAATAGGACAGGGTTCAGATATGGTCACAGGGTCCTCTTGTGTTCTCCGTTTGATAGCACCTAACAACAGCATAACAAAGATCTCCAGATAGTCAGCTTTTTTTGGCGTTTTGCCTGTTGTTACTATGTGCACAACAGCTCTGAACCCTGTGCTGTCCTGCATCATCCTCATCTGACTTACTAGAGGCCACTGTTACAATCACTGTTAAAGTTTATCTTGTTGAGGATTATCTTCTCCTTCACAGACAAGCACTTTTCCAAGTACAATGTCCCTTTTACCATAGACTAACCCCTTGCAACAACATGTTCAAAGTGTATGAGAAAAAAGTTCATCATACTTGCCTATAAGGTGCACTCTGGCTATACTTTCTCCTAAATATACCTGTTAGAATTTACCCCTACCCCATCTTTTAAGGAGACATAATTCAGTTGCTGTCATGTGGTACGTTTTATATAGCTCCCTACAAATTAAACCTATTCGTCACAATATTTTCTGGCATTTAGTGTTTCAGAAAACTTAAAAAATTCTTAAGTAGTGCCTTCAGTGGTCCAGGCCCCAGTGATAGCAATAACATTAAGAAACAGGTGTCTCTGACCAGAGCACACAGCATGACAGTGATGTGAGGTTTCACATGGGCAGGAGGAGACTGAGGAGGGCCTGAAGGTATGGTAGTTGGAAGGGGAAGCAAGAATGGAGAGGACTTCCAACAAAAGGCTTGTGGGGCTGTGGAACTAGGGTGGACAGAGAACAAGTGGAGTTCTGCCCAGGGTGGATATTGGTGAGTGCAGGCTAAGTGGAGTCCTCACCTCGGGTGGACAGCAAGCAGAAACATGGGAGGAGGTTGCCCATCTTTCTCCTGCAGAGCAACTGGTGGAATCAAACTGTGTCCCTTTGGGATTGCAGCACAGCTTCTTTCTTCTAGCCCATCAGAGCCCCCTTAGGAAAGGTGTGCATCAGGGTTGTAGTCATCCTCCATACCTATTTAATCTATATGCTGAGCAAGTTAATTAGAGGAACTGGATATTATGAAGAACGTGGTATTAGGATTAGAGGAAGACAGATGAGTAACCTTTGTTAGCAGATGACACAGCCTTGCTCACACCAAGTGAGGACATGAAGCACCTGCTGGAGAACATCAAAGACTGCAGTCTGGTACCAATATGTATTGCACTTCAGAATCTAGAAAACAAAAATCCTCACCCCTGGACCTATAGACAACATCATGATGGACCCTTTGCCTGCTTTTAACCCTTTCCCTGTTGTAGTTTCCAACTACTTTTTTTTCCTCATTAAACTTGAGTACATTGTTTTTAAATCTTTGCCATTCAGAATTTTCTTGAATTTTTTTTTTTTACTTTAAATAAGGCCTTGAGTACCTAGCTGGTTGCTTCATTATGTCATCCTAAGAAAAATCTTTGTACTCCTGAGATTATAAAAATATTATCCATTATCTAATATTTCCTTTGTATCAACAACCTGGGCTGCTCTAATGAATTACAATAAACAGTAGTTTAATAAAAACGTGCAATTTCTTCCCTCAATTCTGTATGCAAGAAACCTTAGTGAAGGATTTAGATGTGCTCCCTGCCACCACAGCTCTCAGGTAGTTCTGGCGGCTGCCTTTCCCAGCTCTGTTGGCTTGTTGCTGCATCACTGCTGTGGTGTCAACCCAACGGCAAGTGGTTCAAATTCACCATCTGCTCCGAAGGAGAAAGATGGGGCACCTCTTCCTGTGCAATTTACCACCTCTGGAAACTCACTAAAACACAGCAGCAACAATGGAAGTGGCATTCCGACAAGCAAGTCACTAGACCAGCGCACACCTGAGTGGAGGGGATTGAGTATATAAGAGGGTGAATATCAGGAAATAGGGAGCATAGAGGATCATCTTAGGAGTCTGTATACCTAATGGGTAAGGCACTAGTTCCAGTATCACCATTTCATTGACTCATTTAGCCATTTTCTCTGAAATTAAAATGTCACCGTTATCATATATTTAACACATCAGTTTGTCTAGATACTCTTCTCCTTCATGTATCATTTCCGTCCGTGTCCATGCTAATGCTACCTTGTTTTAGTTGTTTATGTCAGTAGTGCAGGTTCCATTCCATTCATTCTCTCCCACCTGAACCAAAAAGCTCTTGACTATTTGATGCGATGTGCTGATCTTTAAAAGATACTCCATTTGTATTATATTGGGATAATGTCCATTCAGTTTTGAATGGTCTATTTGTTGGGTTTTTTTTTGTTTTTTTTTTCTATAATTATATTTTATTAATTTTCATAAACATTTACAGAGATTCTGGGCTTCCACTCATTCATTGCTGCACCACTCTCTCCACCCTCCTCCCAGTTTGTTCTTGTCCAAATACCACAGTGCTTGTCAAAGCCAGTTCTGATTAATCTTCTTTGTCAGTGTATCCTTTGCCATTCCCTATCACTCCTCCCTGAGAGAGACTTCACCCTGAGTCATAAGGAAAAGGGGACGGCGTATTCTCTTAGCTACTTCCTGCTGAAAAGGGACGCTGTGGGCTTCAGGGTGAAGATCTTCTCTCACTACTCTAAAGGGCCCCTTTGGCAGTAGGAAACACATAGACTATTATGGAGATTGATTTTGGAATTTAGATGCACTCTTATTGATTGTGCTTGGCTGTACATGTACATATCCTTCAAGATGTATCATGGGGGTGTTGCAACCTAGAAGACACAAATTTGACTAACAAGTCACAAGTACATGAGTCCAAAAATTATGGAAAAGTAAAAGAAAAGATTCTTTCATTGTTTTACAAACACTCCCCCAGGTCCCCTCCACCATGCAGCCCTCGCTCTAGTCTCCTGTGATGACAGAAATACCCAGTTACATCTCTCTTTTAGACGGTTCTCTCCCTCCTCTGTTTCAGTGCAGTATACATTATTGAACCCATCTTACTCAGTCTCTCCCCAACCCCAAGGACAGTCCCATTCTACAACAGTGGCATCATGTAATATTTGTCCTTTTGTGACTGGGATATTTCACTCAGCATAATGTTCTCCAGAGTCAACCATTTTGAATAATATTGCATGAGTTCCTTGTTTTTCAATGAAGCATAGTATTCCATTGTGCAAATATACCACAGCTTCTCTAGCCATTCGTTTGTTGATGGGCACTTAGGTTGTTTACAAATCCTTGCTATTGTGAACAAAGCTGCAATAAACATGGGTGTGCATATATCTGCTTGGATGTCAGCTATGGTCTCTTCAGGGTATATTCCCAGTAGTGGAATTGCTGGGTCAAATGGTATCTCTATTTGCAACTTTTTGAGAAAGCGCCATACTGCTTTCCACAGGGGTTGCACCATTTTACACTGAATGGTCTATTTGTAATCTTTCATGACCTTCAATAATTTTTCTTTCCATCATATAGCTAAAGCATTTCTTTTAAATTTTCTTGCTGGATTGGCTCCAGATCAGTGTTCTTCACAATTTTGAGTGAGTGTTCTTTTTTACTAGAGATCAAAGATATATTTGCCCCAAATCAGCAGGGCCATGATTTTACAAACTATGGTGGTTTCAGATAAAAATGGTGGTTCTAGCTTAATTAATTTAATCAGGACATACAGTAAATAAAAGATTATTTTAGGAACTTTTATGTATGATTTGAACCATCTTAGTATTTCTAAAATAGATCTTATTTTAATGTATAACACTATTCTACTAATAACTGTTGGATTTTATTTAATACAGGATTTTATAACTTAATGTCAATTCAAATCCCTGGTCCCTTTCTTGTGTTTTACTGGTGATCCAGGTGTGAGATGGAAAATCTTTTGGGTTTTTTGTGATTTATATTGGTTTGAAGAATATTCATGAACTTCATTCACTGCTGTTGGCATAGTGTCTGGTCCATAATAAGCCCTCTTTATTGAACTAGTCTCTGAAGCTGAACAAAATCTACATATTCTGATCTGCATTAGGATTAATCTGTTATAATAACCTCAAAATTTAGATTATTTAATGTATGTTAACCTTTTCCTTTTTTGCAGGTGATCAGAGGATTGCTAAAATTTTGGCCAAAAACATGCAGTCAGAAAGAGGTAGGTTTTGTTCATTAAATGTAGTGCATTTTATTAGAACTTCTCAAATCCACAGCTGAAAGCTTTGACTCTTTGGGGCAAGCTGTTGTGCAGCAGTCTTTGTGTAAGGATTGGCAAATACCCTGAATTGCACTAAATTGCATATGCCATCCAGATCTTTGTGCCACTGTATCGTTCATATTGTTATTTCATCATTACATTTCTTAAAATTTTTTTAACCTAGGTGATGTTTTTAGGAGAAATTGAAGAAATCTTAGATGTCATTGAACCAACACAGTTCAAAAAAATTGAAGAGCCACTTTTTAAACAAATATCCAAGTGTGTGTCCAGTTCTCATTTTCAGGTACAGTATTTTCAGTGATGCCATTTTTGTTTTATACTATCCTGTCCTTTCCCCTTTTGACATTCTGAATGTCTTTTTAGGTTGCAGAAAGGGCATTATACTTCTGGAATAATGAGTATATTCTTAGTTTGATTGAGGAGAACATAGACAAAATTCTGCCAATTATGTTTGGCAGTTTGTACAAAATCTCCAAAGAACACTGGAACCCGTAAGTATCTTTTATGCTGGTCATGTTTTCTTGTGTGTGTGTGAACATTTTTGTCAGTTGGTCTTGTAATTCATACATAAAATCTATACGGATTTGGAACTTATTCAGAGATTAACAACACACGGATTTGGAACTTACTCAGAGATTAACAACACTTTACTTTATTCCTGTGTTTCCTGTAAATAACAAAGTTGCAATTATAGAGGAATATGGTTCCTCACTGCAAATCTCCTTGAAGGTATCATTTACCTGTTGGAACATTCTGCACTATGTGGTCAAGCCCAGCTGGAGAGTGGATGCACCAGTCACTGGTGTTAATGCAGCGTTGGGTTGTTTCACCTCTGCAGAGAGCACCATCCTGGTGGAACGCTGAAATGCTTAAAGGGGATAGAAGTGACATGCAGTCCAACATCTATGGCACCCTTCTCCATGCTACTTCTGATTTATAGTTTGATCTTATTCACATTTTAATAGTCAGACAGTTTTAGAGATGAGAGCCTAGAGCAGAAATGAAGATAATCAGCCATTTTTAGCTGTTACCACTGATGGCATGACCTTGAGCAAATGACTGAACCTCCGCTTTATTGTTAAAATGGGTTAACTGCCTCAGCCAGCATTCATTTGGTCCATTGAGGTGATAGTGTTACGTTTCTGTTTGATGGGTCTAAAACCTGCATAATGTTATGAAACTGAGTGTCTGAAATGTTGAATGGAAAACCAGTTTGCTCTGTAAACTTTCAATTCAATCAAAAAAATGTTCATTTTAAAAGATTAAACTCGGGGCTTACTTTCATTTTAGGACAATTGTAGCACTGGTATATAACGTGCTGAAAACGCTAATGGAAATGAATGGCAAGCTTTTTGATGACCTTACTAGCTCATACAAAGCTGAAAGACAGAGGTATTTGATGTTTTGAATTACTAAATTACATGTTAGGTTAATGTGATTCAGTTCAGTAAGGTATCTACTCAGATACTAAGTGCAATGTCAGTTACATAAAAGCATCACCAATCAAAGTCTCCAAACTCTTTAGGTCATTTCTGGATAAACAAGCCCCAAAAGTTTTATAATTTGTTAAACAGAAGTAACATTCATTTAAAATTGTTCTAATTTATTTCCTTTAAGGTTAGGCTATAATGTGGGTCATAAATTTTATCTTCTGAGCCTTAAGGACTTAATCAGTCTGGTAATATTTGCACTGTAAAATGTAACTCATGTTGAATTTTAAATGTTAATGTGCACAGACTTCATAAGAAAAGTATTGTCCTCAAGAGCTTTTTTTTTATATAAATGAGCTTTGCTAACCTGATCCTGCACAATCTTTTCTTAGTTTTTTAAGATACAGATTTTCACAAGATGGGTTTTTTAAGTCAGCCTAGTACTTTCTTGAGAAGAGGGTACCTGGACCATGTTGTGACTTTGATTCAAGAGTTTAACATTGTGTTTCTTGTAATAAAAATGATAGCATACATCAACCTTTGAGAAATTGGTTTAGTGATTTTCTTTTTGAGAATCTGATATACTGTTATAAAATAATCTTCCTAATATATTGATATTGCTAATTAACATTCTACTAAACTGGTATCAAAAACAAACTGTACCTTATAGTTCCATCTTACATACAAATGAGTTAAAGACAGGAAGGGAATTTGTTCGTAATGTAGAGACTGCCTGCGTTCTCACAACATCAGCCTCACATAAGGTCCTGTAAATTTGTCTGACACGTAAGAGGTAAGAGCTAAGATACATTTTGGTTAGTGTAAGGAGATGTGTTCTGCAAGGGATGTTGAATAAGAAAGGCTCTGGGCTAACCCACTGACCAATTTATGTAAAAGTACTTTGTAAACTAGAAAGCACAAAAATATGATGCTGGTATGTAGGGAGCTCTGGTTGCCTAGTGGTTAAGAATCTGCGCCGCAGTCCTCAAGGCTTGCAGTTTGATTCCACCAGTTGCTCCAAAGGAGAAGTCTCCTCCAGTGCGATTTACTTAGTGCCTCTCAGAACTGCCTGGAGAATCAGCTATGGGTCAGTTCCAACTCTACAGTAAACAGCAGCAGTGTGTAGGGAGTGGGATATACTGTCAGGTACAGGAAGAGCAAAGATTTCATACTCGTAAGAGTGACAGGAAGAAATGAGTGCTGCAGGTAACTGAACTCAAACACTTCAGTGGGAGGACATGGGTGAGTTGTGTGTGACAAATGTGTTTCCTAGTAAACTTCCAAATATAGCGCCTTTCTTTAGCTTCTGGACTCAGAATTTCTGATTTAAAAATTTTTTATTTGTTTACAGAGAGAAAAAGAAGGAATTGGAACGTGAAGAATTATGGAGAAAGTTAGACGAGCTAAAGTTAAAGAAAGCTCTAGAAAAGCAGAACAGTGCTCTAGAAAAGCAGAACAGCCCTTACAATATAAACAATATTCTCAGCAATTCAAGTGCTGATTAAATAAAAATACCTACCATCTTTGTGGAATGGGCAGTTTTGTAAACTTTTTTGAAAAAAAAAAATGTAAAAATTGGAGGGAAAACCTCATCAGTATAATAAGGCCAATTTTTTTTCCCCTTGGAAACTGTAAATGAAAAAAAGATGGACTAAACTTAGCCCTGTGTTATATATCATGGCCACAGTATATTGTAACTTTTGTCTAATCAGATTTATTGTGTCACTTCTGAAGTTTCACAGAATGAATTTTATGACATGAGTGAGATAATTCTGGGAGTGGTGAGAATTATGACTTGAATTATTTTGATTGTGTTGCACATAGGTAGTAAGTAATCTGCTCTGTATATTTTCCCTTTTATAATGTGCTTTTCACACTGCTGCAGACCTTAGTTACATTCTAGGGAGTGTTTCCTTTTAAAAAAACTAAGGTATAATCCTTCCCCTTCCCTTTGTCTCTCCCAGAAATGATGGAGGGAATTACCTGCACTCTGGAATTTGAGCAGAAAACTCAAATTTCCAGGCTTTTTAAAGCACAAAACAGAAATAAAAGCTGGGAAAGTAAACCAAAATTCTTTAGATTGTTCCTCTTGAATATCTCCCTTCATCTGCAACTGCCAAGTGATGAACACAGATGAGTAGAGGCACAAAGCGTGCCTTCTCCATTCATTCCTCTTCCTCTGTCAAAGCTGAAGGCAGGGCCTTTCCAGTCCTTACATGGCTCCCCCAGTGTCTCCTGACCCAGGGACGGAGGCTGAGTCCCCCAGTGTGCTGATGCAGCGCTCTAGCTGTCACTGCCTGGCTTGTTAAGTGCAGTGCAGTAGCCTGATCTAGAGTTCTGGAAAAGTTGATTATAGGGGTCTTGTATGTTTTTACTTGGTCTAGTATTTCTCACATATTTTGTTTTCAGAGTACCATTCCAATCGCTTAACTTGCAGTTGTGTGGGAAACTGTTTTGTAACAAAAGATCTTCATTGGGGGATTGAGCAGCCTTTAATAAAAGTCTACGTTTGTATTTTGCCTTAGTTTGTCTTTGCTTTTTCAGCCCCAAGGTAAAGCTTTCAGAAAACTACCCTCCCTTTAAACACACCATACATAGGTATACAAATAGACATTGTTACGATAAATTGTGAGGCATATTCTGAAATTCTACATTCAAGGATCTCCTTCCATCTTCCCTTACATGCCACCAAGGCGACTATGACTTATAGCAACCCCTATGAACAATGGCTCACCATCTCTGACACCTAACCCCACTGCCAAAGTCGCTGTGTCAATCCCTCTCATCTAGGGTTCTCTCTTTTCGCCAGTTTTCTACCCTTCTAATCATGATGTCCGTCTCCAGTGACTGGCCCCTCCTGACAAATGTCCAAAGTATATGACACAGAGTTTCAAAATCCTTTCTTTCTGGGAACAGCCTGTTTTCATCCTCTCCAGGACAGGCCTGTTTGTTCTTTTAACAGTTCCCCACAACTCAGAGGCATTGAGTCTTCTTTTGTCAAGTTCTCAGATCCATAGCAAGCAACTGAGAAGACCATGGCTTGGATCACATATACCTTAATTCTTCAGACTGACATTGTTGCTCTTCAGCACTCTATAGAGATCCTTAAAAGCAGATTTTTTTTCCAATGCAACTTGTCTTTTGATTTCCTTACTGCTGGCGCCAAGGGTGTTGACAGTGGATCTGAGCAAGATGAAATCATTAACTCCAATCCTTTCTTCATCTATCATGATGCTGTCTATTGGCCTGGTACTGAGGATTTTTGTTTTCTTGCTATTAAGAAATGCAATCCATATTAAAGGCTGCAGTCCTTGATCTGAAGCAAGTATGTCAAGTTGTTATCTGCATTATGCAGGTACCTGATGAGTCTTCCTTCAAACATGATGCCACATTTCCTCCTCATAAAGTTCAACCTCCCAAATGATCTTTCCTGTGTATAGATTGAAAAGGTACGCAGAAAAGATGCAGCTCTGACACATTCCTTTCTTGATTTTGAACCATGCGGTGTTCCCTTGCTCTGTCTGGATAACAGCTTCTTGGTCTAGATATAGGTTTCATGTGAGCACAATCAAGTGTTCTGGAATTCCCCTTCTCAACGTTAGCCACCATTTGTCATACAATAAAATGCCTTTGCATAGCTGATAAAACACAAGATCCTTCTGGTACTCTTCTGCTTTCAGCCAAGATCTATCTGACATCAGTAATGATATCCCTAGTGTCATGGCTTCTTCTAAAATAAGTCTGTATTTCTGTCATTTTTTGATAACCTTCAGCAGGATTTTGATTGAATGTGAGGTTAATGATCTTGTTTGGTAATTTCCATTCTGCTGGATTACTTTTTGGGAATGGGAATAAATCTAGATGTCTTCCCGTCAGTTGGCCAGCTAGCTGTCTGCCAGACTCCTAGGTACATCCTAGTAAGCACCTCCAGGGCTGCATCTGTTTGCTGAAATATACCAATTTGTGTTCCGTCAATTTCTAGTGCTTTATTTTTAGCCAATGCCTTCTGAGCGGCTTAAATTTCTTATTGCCATTAGTTCTTGATCTTATGCTGCTTCCTATAATGGTTCAGTGTCAGCCAATCCTTTTTGGTACAGCTTATTTAAAACAAGGAAAAGAAATCTTAACTTTAATAGCATTATGTTGTTGGGAATAGGACTATGACAGCATCAGAAGATATTATGAACTGTTTTCAACTACTGATGTTTAACTCAGCCTTTTTAACATCCATTATGAATGAATCTCTAGCACAGGGTCAAAACATGTCCAGGTTAATATGAGGGCCACAGCTCCTTTCACTCTTCATAGTCATTGAAGAAACACTTGTTTATAGTCTTTTCAAGTAACAGGTGTGATAGAGCAACCCCAGTGAGGAGCCCACCAGAGTCCCCCACCCCAACCACTAACACTGGTAGCTGAGGGAAGTTTTAAGGAAAGGATAATCCTAAAAGAAACACAGATAGCAGAAGGCAGGCTTTTCCAGAAAGTGAAGGTTGGTTTTGAGTTTTAGTCTGTGGCTGGTATAGGCATATAGATAACATTAATGGTTTTGTTTGGATAGCTAAAAAAATGTTCACTTTGCAGTTATCTAAGTTATTCTAAGGGAGCTCTGATGGCCTAGTGGTCAGGCCCTACTGCCAGCCCAAAGGCATGCACTGGAATCCACTAGCTTCATGATGAACAAGCTCCTGTGTGCTTTCTTCAGCCTCTGAAAAACCCACTAGCGGGTTACCTCTAAGTCTGACTCGAGAGCACATAACAAAAAGTTATCCGAAAACCTATTTAAGAGCTCACTCAACTTTCCATGCAAATATTTTTTTTAAATTTTTAAGTAATACCAAAGTGTGACAAGTCTTTCTTACAGACAGAAAGTCCTAAAGTTAGGACAGGGTTCCATTCCAGTGACTCAGTTCTGCTTGGATAGTCCTCACACAGCAGTGTTTTCAACAGTAAACAGTAACAGTGAACATCTTAGAAAATAACATCAACACATTACATGCTACAATACTACAGGTAAAATATACATTACTAAGGATAAGGTGTGCAAAAAGTAACTTAAAATGCATTATAAATTGGAAACAATGGTATTTTTTAAAAACCTACAAATTTATTTTTTAATACTGTTAATGTACCTGCTTATGGGTGTTTATAAATATGTTTTGTCAGGCACGGTATCGGCCCTATGGGCAAGACTGTATAGAGAAGGAACGCTGACCAACATTTGATTGCTCATGCTTCTGTACAACAGAAAAGCAGGGAATATTTTTTTACACAGTTAACTTTTAAATTAATAGTTGAACAACATAAAAAACACAATTTCTTGCTATATTAGACACGAGGCAAACAATGCCTTAATTACATTTGAACTTTATGTTTCTTTGAATTATCTAAGGACAGATTAAGAAGATCAAGAAGTTCTACCAAGACCTCTTGGATACCAAAGGCATGTAAATGAAATGTTAAATCAGCCAGTGGCTACCATGTGAAAAATAACTAAGTAGTTTTTTAATAAGCATTCATCGTGTCCAATGCTGGCTGGAAGCCCATTTCTCCCACAGGGAGCTGTGTAGGAATAGGGAGGATCAGCACCATTTCCCTGTGGAGCTTGATGGGCCCCTGCATCCATCCGTCACTGCCTCATGGACTTGACCGTAAGCGGCTGTACCATAAAGTGGGTCCATCTCAGGAGCCTTGTATACAGGAGGTCACAGAATGAAAGCACTGGTGCCCAGCGACTCAGTGGATATTTATGACAGCACACTCAATTCTTTTATGTAATCACCAATTTTCTGAATTTTTATCACTCTGCGCTAGCCAAAGAGATGGTAAGATGAAGGGTCAGAGAAAGAGAGGAAAACTCAACAAGATGGACTGAGACAGAGATTCTAGTAACGGACTCAAGCATATCCAGGATCGTGAAGATGCCATAGGATAGTGCAAGATTCAGGTCTGTTCACAGGGTCACTATGTATCCCGGCCAATTTGATGGCACCGAACAGCAACCGTAGCTTTTTAAAAAGTCTCATCACCTGAGAGAACTTGTCAGAGGCCAGACAATGGGGATGGCGTTTGCTGCTGAAGACATGAGGACTTCCCTTTTTGTTGACAGTGCATAGGTTTCAAAACATGACCCACACATACCTCGATTGGACAGTTTTGCGAAAAGAAAACAACACTCGTCCACTTTTAAAAAACAGTGAGAAACCCAATGTGGAATGTATACACCAAACCAAACAGGAATAAAGACATCTTCCACAGGTGAGTAACTTGCAGGTACCTATACAGATCCATTCCATCCTCTAGAAACACCATACGTGTGTCACTAGACAACTTTTTAAAATGTTCATTAATAATTTAAATACTTACATAACTTTGAGGATACTGACTGAATCTGTCCCTTAAGGCTCTACAGAGCTCCCTTTTGGGCCAAGGGAGAAGTTCCAGTTTGACAGGTTACTCCCAGCAAAGTGCCATTTCTTCAAGTGAATTCAGGAGTGCAGATGTT